CATTTTGGGACACAGAATCCTGCCTTGAAGCACCATTTCCCTGCTGCTGGCCACAGAGGGTAGGATTGTCCCCAGAGAAGGACGTTTCCATGACCATGTCCTGTGTGAAGATTCTTGAATTTGCATGTGAGTCGCGGGAGAGTGATGCCATTGAAGGCTGAATAACTCCCCACAAAACAGCCCCCGTTTCCACCAGCCAAAGGAAGGGTGGATTTCCTCCTCTCTTCCTGCCCTTCCCCCTCCCACGTCCAGTGTTCTTGGAAACAACTGAAGGAAGTGCACAACTCTGTGAGTTCACCACATTTCCATTGCTGATGCGAAGCAGAGTTCAGTGAGGTCCCAGACTTGCCCGGTGAACGGCTGTGGTCGGCAGGGTGGGGCGCAGCCTGTCTGTGGAGTGGCCTTTGATTCTGGCACCAGCAGTGCAGGCAACGGGGTCCTCAGGGTTTGTCCCGCTTTGGATCCCAAGAGGTGGCCTGGAGGGCTGACCAAACCTGCCTGGCTTCAGCTCTGCGGCTCTGCTCAGTCCTCTCCGTGTGTGCCTGCTCTGAGGGGTGAGTCTGGGTAGCTGTATCCCTGGGAGCTGCTTGGCTTTGTTTCTTCACTTTTCCCTTTGGAGAGCTGATGGGGAGAGAGGGCCACACGGGGATCCCTGCATTCTTTTGGGAGGACTCTGGCTACAGTCCTAGGGACACTTTCCTGGTAGTAGGCCCTATTGAATAAAATGGGACTTTGAGGAAAACCCAAAAGTGATGTATGATATCTCTAGGAATTGCGGGAGACTCTTTGGTAAAAACATAGGTTCCAGTGATTCCTAGAGCTACCCTATATCATGTGAGTTTCCCCTGGAAGTGACATAGTGAAGCAGCCAACATCACCTTTTCAAAAAAATTTCTCCCCTCACCACTCAGAGTGGCTGCAGGAAACTGAGCCGCAAGCGGCCTGTTTCCGTAGGACTTCACTAGTTGAAGTGGTTCCCCCATGTGCTCGAGGCAGGCCCTCCACCTTTGCCTGTGGTTTTTCCTTTGAGGGCTAGGAGCAGCAGCAACGTGTGATGATGTCTTTTTATTTTGAAAGTGTCTCTCCTGAGATGGTGTCAGCCCAAATCAGGACCCTTTGTGACTTGTGTTCGCATCTTAATAACATTGCGAGGAGCTGGTCACAGACCTCGCAACTCTTGTGGGGACACACACAAAATAAAGTCTCAGCAAACATGTTGGGAGTTGCAGCAGAGCGGGAGGGCAGGAAAACATGGAGGGAGTCGCCAACTAAAACAGCCCAAGGCCCCCCCCCGCCATGGCTGGCATTGAGAAACACACACACTTCGGGTGGCTCAAAAGATGGGAGTGAGGAGCAAAGTGCTGTGTCTCTCTCTGGATCTTTGCAAAATCTGCATACTTTGCCTATCAAAAATGCAGGCCCATTTGCTGGTCACGGAACCCTTTTGAATGACACTTGTGCCCTCCAAGCATCACTTGACATTTGCATTTGCCACGGGAAGGGCCTCCTCTCCCTCATCCATGCCTGACTGAAAAAGCAGAGGGACTCCTGCAGAAACGCAGCTTTGCTTGTCTGAGACTAGAATTCTGGCTTTTGTTCTGAAGTATGCTTCATGCCTTACATTTTGACCATGGGTTTTTTTTTTTTTTTTTAAATCTCATTTTCAGGCTTGCCTAGTAATCAGCATGTCTTGGGGTTTAGTGTACATAGGCCCCGGTCACACGGGCAGGAAAATGCGGCGGGGGGGGAGCGTGGCTGTTTGACCCAGAGCAAAATAACAAGCGGTTGCACAATCAGACGTCCTGTCGAGGTCCCGTGTTTAGGGGGGAGGAGCCAATCACACGACCATCTTGCGGCGCGGCAAAGAAGCGGCGCGGTGCGATCACACCAGCAATCGCTAGGCATCGCTTCCATGGCAAACGGGATGGATTTTTTAAAAAATTGAAGTTTGTGCATACGCATGACTGAGCAATCGTATCTGCACATCCGAAGGCGGGTGGTGGGCTTACCGGAGAGGGCGACAGACGCTTCTGGACCCCAACAGAGCTCCGAGGCATAGCCAATGGAGGGGGAGGTGGGCCCCCTCGTCACAGCCGCTCTAACCACCTGTGCGACAGTGGTCATAGCGACCCTCCAGAGGCGGCAAGCCTGGCTGCAGTGGGAGAGGGCCTCTTTGTGCGCATGCGCCGTTGGGCACTTGTTCGCATCCTGTGGAGACTTGGGGGGAAAACCTGTTGGCGACGGGACATGGGCGGGCGCCGGATGGCATGGGATTCCACCAGAAACGCAATCAGGTGCCCGCCTTTGCCCCGCAGTTTCCAGAAACTAGTACCTCAGAGGTACTAGTTTTTTACACCGCATCTTCGGCGGGAAGCCTCGGGTTTGGCACGGGAGTTCTACGCTTCCCAGATGTGGCGGTGAGATCGCGCCTGGAAAATCCGCCTATCTTCCATCTCTCTAGCGTGGCTAATGTTCCGTGTGACCGCAGCCCATTTTAGCTTTCTGGTGAACCTGTGAGTACCTTAGGCATTTAGCATGTCAACTTCTCTATGGAGAGTTACAAATGTCTTCTTTTCCTAATATTATCAGTGCTTAGGGCCCGGTATGTGCCAAAATTCGATATTCTGGGTTGTCGGGAAGTATAGTTGCTCATGGTGCAAGAGAGATGTGAAAGTGCCCCCTCTTCAGGCGGCGCTTCAGCAGAGTCACGCTGTGTCTCTATCATGAGTGCTTCATTTCAGCTTAAGCCCTTTTGTGGCTTAGCTGGTTGGGGCCCTCTGTCTGAGATCCTCAGGCGGGGTGTGCGTGCAGAGAGGTGTCAAAATACCACTTTTTTTGTTGGGAGAGCTGGTATGTTAAGCCAGATCCCTTGTTAAAGTTAGCAGAGTGCACTAGGCTCAGAATGCTTTTGAACAGCCTATGCCTGTAAGATCACAAAGTTACACAGAGCCAGGGGTCATTTCATAGAAAAAGAGCTGCAGGAGCGCATTAGCATATGCCACACCCCCTGACATCACCGGAAGTGATGTCAGAAGGGGAAGCAAAAGGGGGGGAGGCATCTTCAAAAGCCTCCCCTTCCCTTCCCCAGCCGGCCTGCTAAGGCGGGCGGTGGGGGGGGGGGAAGCGAAGAGAGAAGGGCTTTAAAGTTTAAACCCCTTCTCTCTGGAGTCGCGCCGCAGCGGCGACGTGATCTTTCTATTGTATTCTATAGGGCCAACTCTAAAGAGAAGGCGCCTGGGGGTGGGGCTTGCCGCCACCACCATTTCTCCTCGCTCCTGGGCTCCCGGAGTGGCGCACTGGCGTGCTCCGGGCCCAAATGACCCCTGTCCGGCATAAGTTGGGATGGGGCGATCAATAAGTAGTAGTAGTGGTGGTGGTGGTGGTGGTGGTGGTGGTGGTAATGGGACAGATTCTACTCTACCTAGCTAGTGATGGATGTGGATGATGCAGAGGGAGGGGCGCCGGTCACCCGTGGTGCCAAAGAAGGAGGAAGGTGGCCTCCCTCTTCGTGTGCCTGCGATGCCAAGTGCCTCTGCCTGTCTAGCTGTAACTCTCTGGTCACTTGCTTCTTGGAGGCCGAGGCACAGGGACATCTGGTACTTCCAGCATCCCCCCCCCCCAGCAATTAGGGTCCCTTGGATTTTGCATGTATTAGATTACTAAATTCCAGATATAAATTCTGAGGCATGAAGCCCTTTCACCACAGTCCCCCAAACTGTTGTATCTGACGTCTTGTAGGTCAGCTCTTGTGCTCAGTCACACTCCTGCGTGCCTATAAAGTACTGCGACCGAGGCTGCACAGCGTAGTGATTTCAGCTCATACTTTACTTAGGAAAAGAGAAAACTGGAGATGCAGAAGCCGGCCAGAGGCCCGCTCTGAATACACGTACAGACCACACCCCAACACACACCCACACCCGTGGCTGGATCATCTACGGAGCTACAGCACCCACAGGTTCCCTGGAGGATCCGGACGAGCCGATAGGCTGGCTCTAGGATCCTCTCCTTCTGTTGTCTCCGGATGCGAAGCTAGGCCAGTTCGCCTGGCCACGTGTGAGGGTGCGCAGTCACCATTAGAACACAACAGTGCCCTAGAAAGAAAACCCATCACTCACTCCTGTTGGGGAGGGATGAGCCAAGTGCTGTGCGTTAAACCTCCCTTTCACCCATGACTCTCGCTGCCAGAGGAAAACAGCTCTGAGAGTCTGTTGCCAGAGATAACTTTTCAGTTAATTCTGCATTACATGGAACCATATCAGTCTTTGTGCCACTCAGGCCCTTGCAATACTCAGTCTGCTCCTAGGAGGAGCCTCAAGTTACATGGTCCCTGAGACATCTGCTGCACTTAGCGGCAGCCTGGGTCCTTTGGGACTGTGCTCGGGCATCGTGGCTGTTTGAGCCCTCAGGAGTCCTCCGGCACATCCCTTTATCTTTGGGACCCCCTTTTTGTATGCCCTCCCTCACCCTACAATCATACGGACACAGTCACGAAGTTAACAGTTTGCGTTGGGAATGTTGCTGAAGTGTGAACAGGGGCACAGCCTGCCCACCCTTTCCCCGGGGATGGGTTGTTGTTCCACAGAGTGCAGCTGAGCACAGCAACCGCGGACTGTGGCGGGTGGACTTCTCCCCCACCCCCCACCCCGGTTTGGCCCGTGAAGCACTGAGTCACACGTGTCTCGTTCTCTCTCTTGCCTTCCGGAAGCTTCCTGGATGAGCCCACAGAGAGCGGCTCTCCCCATGTCACGAGCATCTGATGTGGGTTAGGGTGCTTCTTGCATTCTGACCCAGGATCTGAGTCCAGCGATTGTGAGACGAACTGGGCCTGGAGGTGCCACGGAGCTCCTTCCAGCTCTGTGGTGCAGCGTTGGGACACTGAGCAGCCCCAGTTAAAAGGTTTCTTTCTGTGCTTTCCTGCCATTGCTTTGCTGAGGGGTCTTAAGATGCTCTTGTCTTGAATCTCGTGTGTCTCCTCAGAGGTGCTTGTTTGCTTTGTTTCAGAAGCTGAGGCTAAGGAAGCATGCGACTGGCTGCGTGCGGCTGGCTTTCCTCAGTATGCACAACTGTATGAAGGTGAGCAGGATTTATTTGGGGGGGGGGGTTCTGAGCTGATTGGGGAAGTGCATGAGCACCTGCTGCCCCATCCCTCTGGACTGATCCGGCCTGGTTCCCCCGTGACTGGTGCTCTCTTCACCTGTGACAAGTGGGCGTGGGAGGCAGGGCCCATATGAGCCCGTGGCCTTGGGTCCCACACGGTCTCTCAGCTCTTCCTTGGAGGGGGAGGGGTTGCAAGAAGTGCCTCATGCACCCTGGACTGCCCTCGAAGGGGGCTTGGAGAGTTCAGTTGCGCAAAAGCCCTTATAAGAGTGCCCTGAATCGTCACATGCAATCAGCCATAGGTCAGTTTTGCCGGCTCCCAGTTTGTTTCTGGGATCAATTCAAGGCGCTGGTTTAGACCTTTAGAGCCTGCAGCAGCCCAGCGGTCGCCTAGCTCTACCTCCACCAGCCTGTCCAAGTGTCAGAAGCCACGCGGCTTGGCTTCCTGCAGGAGCCGGCCCTACCTGGCTGCTGGCTCCAGACCGTGGTGTCCCCTCCCCCCGGGCTGGCCGTCACGCTGGGTCCTGTGGACCAGACTCGGCCTCGTCTTTTCCGGGAGGCCTTTTTGAACGGGACCAAAACAGGGATGGTGCTTCTTGGCCTCCCCCCCGTACTTGGGCATCCGCTTTAGTGGCTTTATCTTGCTTTTATCGTAGCTTGTTCTGTATTTTTATTTGCTGGCTGCCTTGAAGACAGCCCGTCAGGAAACCCGCTCCCCTGCCAGCCAGCCCATGCCCCTTGAGGGTGCTCTGAAGAGTGAGCTTCTGGCCTGTTCCCTTCCGGCAGCCCTCCCTGCAGAGCCGGCCCCGGGGGGCGCCTGCCTGGGCGAGACACAGGCTTCCCCTTGACAGCCACTCTGGCTTCTACATCTCCCACTGTATTTTCAAGCATATCTTTGCCACCACAGGGGACTAGCAAGTAGCATTTCTCCAAAATGAAACTTTTAGGGAGTTGACGTTTGCAACCTGTGTTTTTTCTTTGTTCTGATAGGGTTTTCTCGCCCTTTTTTGTTAAGGACAAACAGCCCGTGGAAACCCCGTTCAGAGTGAGGCTGTGGTGGTGCCCTTTGCCTACCTCAGTTGACCTCCAACAGCTGTTTCTCCTGCCTTTGTGGTACTCTTGTGTTCCTTCCCCCCAGGGATGAACTGCAGCTGGGATAGTAACTCCCCTACCCCATGAGCCCCATTGTGACCCCTCCAGTGGTGCTGTTCATCCTCAAAAAAACCCACGGGGAACCCTTCACGGCCCTCCCAACGTCTTGTCCAGTTTGGTCCTTGGAACGGTGGCATGTTCGCTGCCTTCTCTGTGCTTTTCAAATAGACTGCACAAAACGTTATGTCTCTAGTGTGCGCTTCTCACCAAACCATGGCAAGGACCATCAGCCCGGGCCCTGAGTTTGGCCTCGGCTGAGGAGAGGAGGCTCTGTGCTGGCCTGTGAGCTCCACCTGTTGTCCCCGCCGGAGACCTCTGCTTTCCCCCTCCCCAACAGGTATGCACAGAGCCAAGCAAGCCGAAGGGTTCTCCATCGGTTTGGGAGTTTCCTGTTTTTCTCAATATTCAAACCGAAAGGATTGTCCGGTGGTGGATACGTTCTGCAGGGAATGTCTTGCTTCAGTGCAGACTTCAGGCTCTTGACAATGTCAGGTTTCATTCCAAAAAGAGAAACCAAGGTTATCTAGGGAATCCTTAGGGTAGCAGGGAGAACCGGGGAAACCCGTGAACAATGCCAGATTGGATCTCCGGGGATGCAGGGGGAAGGGAGCAAGCAGAGCTTCTCACGGGCACAGGGTGGGGTAGAAGATGCCCTGCACCGCTTCCCCCTCTTATGATCTCGGCCTGTAGTGCTTCTTCCCCTGTAGCCCTGAGCAAAATCCCCAGACCTCTTCAGGTTTTGGAAAGGGACTGCACTGGGCTCACAGAATGGAGATCCGCAGATGGACTTTGCCGTCTTGTGTACCTGTGATGGCCGAGGGAAGAAGCTGAGTGGCTGCCGCATGAGGGCGAGGGCAGCAGCTTCCCCCCACCGCTCTGCAACAGGGCCGCTGTGCCAGTGCTTGCTTGCTCACTCACCCACAACAGGCGGCATTTTGCCGAGGGGATTCCAAACGCTGGCACTGGCTCTGTGGAGGGGTATCTCCTTGGCCCCGATGCCTGTGCAGATCCTGGGTCCGGTCGGTATCCAAGATGTGGCCTGGTGACCTTCCTCACAGTCAACATCCAGCCTGGTGCTTTGCATCAGAGTTCTTTTATTCTTTGGCTCAGTTGGTCTGATAGATGTTCATAACTTAGGTTTCAAAAATTGAAAGTATAGGTGTCAACACATTTCTTTAGTATAAATTCAGATTTATAATTTTAAACCATGTTATGCTTTAAAACAGGCATTTTAAGATGGAGGGGGAGAGAGAGAGAGAGAGAGAGAGAGGGGTGTCTCTCCTCTCTGTGTGCGTTACCCGGGGGAGAGAGAGAGAGAGAGAGAGAGAGTTGATTCTCGTCCCTTTGTGCGTTACCCTTTGGCTCTCACCAAGCACTGATCCCGTAGATTTCAAAATACCTTTGCAGCATCTGTTTATAAAGTGCTGAAAACGAGGGTTTGCAGCATCCTCAGATTCGTGCCCTTCATTGCCAGTTGCTAAGGTTTTGTGCGTGAGAGAGAGAGAGAGAGAGATCATGAGACTCTGGAGAAGAGGCACCTCTGCCCATAGATACAAAAGAGTAGGCCGGGAGGGGGGGGGATTTACTCTCCAGGGGCTCTGGGAAGGCCCCACTGCAGACCGTGGCAGCCCCCCCCCCCCCCCCGCCCGCGGAGGCTTCTTCAGGCAGAGGCTTCTGCCAGGAGCTCCATGCCTCCCAGACACGAGATATTTTGGGCTCTAAGTTCTTCTCCTCTTCTTCTTTTCATCCCCAGAGTCGCTGTTCCCTCTTGACATCTCTACTGTGAAAAGGGACCTTCGCTTTCTGGACCAGGATTACCTCAAATCCCTCTGCAGGTTAAAAGGAAAACACCCAAATGGGGGGAGGGGATGGGGAAAGTGTGGGTGGGCAGCCAGCAGCTCGGCAGGGGTCAGGCTGTGCAGGGGGGGGGGGGGGGTCACACCTGGCCCTGGGAGGATGGCGGTGCAGGCGTGGCTCTTCAGGCCGAGCGATTCCTCTCCGAGGCTCGGGTGGAACTGCTTTGGGATTGCCCCACCCCTGCACGCACGCACGCACGCGCGCACACACACACACATACACACACTGCCTGCAAGACCCCCACTGGCTGGTCTCTAGGCCGCAAGCCGAGGCAGCCCCTTGTTAAGTTCCCTCATTTGGGTTTCCCCCGCTCCCCTCAAGCACCAGCTCTTAGGGGCAGAGTCACTCGGAAAGCCCCCGTGGGCCTTGGCCGGTGTGTCTGTGAGGAATGATGGTGCCATGCGGAAGGGAAGGGCCAGGGGGTGATAAATTTGCTTGCAAAGAGAACAGAGCATCTTTATGGGCAGCTTGTGCAGCTGGTGGATGAGCTAGTTGTGCAGGTGCCGGGAGTGGGGCTTCACAAGCACAGGGGTGGGAGGCTGAACCTGGAGCAAGGAAAGGCCTGTCGGAGGGCTGCTGAGCCCACTTAGTCTGCCACTCTGCCTCCGGCTGTGTCGCCTGGTCTGCAGCATGCCAGAGAAAGACACCACAACCACCTCGTGTTAGTCAGGGCTGTATCCGTGCACCTGATGGTTCCATTCTGCTCTGTTAGGCCTAATAGCTATTGGTAGACAGACTCCATGTGTATAACCCTCTGAGCAGCTACGGAACTGCCTTATACAGAATCAGGCCATGGCCAGTCCTGGCTTGGTACTACTCTTGGCTCTGACTTTTTCAGCTTTGCAGCCTGAGGTCCTTTCCCTGGTGATGCCAAGGATTGGACCGGGGACCTTGCTGCATGCCATGCCCTGAGCCACACGCCCTCTGTTCCAAAGCCTTCCGAGCTTGCGTAGCATTTATCTGGCACAGGAATTGTCTCTGCCACGACCATGAATTTACAGGGATTCATGCAGTGGCTGCTCACAGCTGTACTTGCTAGATCAGTCCTGACTTTGGTCTCCTTACTTTGGGATTGTTACTAAAAATTATTTTCAGGGAATAAACCTTTTTTTATTTTAATCTCTGCCTTAAGTCAGTTTCTTTCAGAACCACAATTCTACTTTGCCCTGTTATGTACGAGTCAGCCTAATTCCTGTGTTTGGTGAACCACCTTCACACTTGCCATTTACTGTGGAATTGCCAGAATTAATTCCCTTGCAGAGGGTCCAGATGACACTGTGGTCAACCCCTTGCAGTGTTTCCATGCTGGTTTGTGACAACCTCACTTCCATCTTTGCTACTCTAGTTCTGCTAGAGAGCTCTACTGGTTTGGGATTCTGTCCTCTTTGGCCACCAGTTTTTTACCACTGATCCCCTACCAGACAAATGAATAATAGACAGGTAACATTTAAGTGTGGCTAAGAAAAACAGGTGGGCTGGGATCCTAAAGGTGCCCTTGGATTCACAGAGGGCCACTCCACTCACACCAGCAGGGGCCGTCCCCTATTCCTGTGCCTTTCGTACCTGGTCAGAATCAGCTGTGTGGCCCCCTGTGGCCACCCTGGAGGGTGTGGGGGCTGTAGGAGCCAGAGGGGGGCAGGGAGGATCTGTCATGCAAGTCGCAGTCCATTTGCTGTCTCTTTGGGTCCCACACACTGTCTTTAAGTCAGGCTGAGAGAAAATGCCTTTTACCCCCCTGCTTGCCAGATGCTCTGTGCAGACCGCAGCGGCAGTGGGAAGAGAATGCCTCCCTCTGTCAATGGCTGCCTCTGTGGCTTTCCTAGACCTCCCACCCAGTCACGACTGGAGGACTGACCAGATGGCCCTGCAGACCTCTGGCATGGGGAGGTAGTGGGCAGATCTTTAACATTCCTTGGCAGCAGTTTGCCCCTTCCATTTACTCACAGTTGTCTGCTGACCTTTGGGGTGACCTCAACCAGGCACAGGTCATTTGCAGCATCTCAGGTGTGTGTTTCGGGCAGGTGAGTCTGCTCCAGTGCCCGTGCCTCTGTGGCGAGCACACTGTGGATGCAATCACTCCCACAACACTCTTGTAGCTGCAAGATTTGTTTATTGAGAGGTAGAGAGATTCCAAGCATAGCAAGTAGTTAACCCCTCATGCAAAAGACCATGAGTTTGGCTAGACAGCCTCCTGTGGCAAGCGAGGCCCGAGCTTGGCCACGTGGCACCCTGAGCAGTGTGTGTGTGTGCTGTTCAGGTGAGAATCCTGGAGACCAGATTTCCGGGGTCATTTCTGATCTTTTTGCTCTTTTACATTTGCTTCATTGTAGGACTTTATTTTTTTTAAAGATCTGAACGTTTTAGTGGTGCCGTTTTTGTACTGTGTGTCTGTTTCCCGCTCATTGCCGCTGTCATTGGCACTGGACGCACACTGATGGAGAGCGGAATGGTGGAACGTGGGGAAGAGCCCACCCCTGCTGGAGAAGAGGAGGAGGCAGCTGGCCTCGGGGTGGGTGGGGGGCAGTGCTGAGAACTCTGGGGGGGGAGGGGGGCGCCTGCTGGGAGAGGCAGGAGCGGAAGGCCCAGGCCACCGTGGTGACAGGCCTGGAGAGTCAGTCCTGGTCTCTGTCGCGCTGGAAGTGGGGAGGTTCCAATAGCCGGAGGGGACAGAGGCCAGGATCCCGCACTGGTGCCAGAAGAGGCGCAGCTGCAGCTTTTTGTGTGCACCTGAGGAGAGAATCCGGTGGGTGGCCGTGTTGGTTGGTCTGAAGCAACAGAATGAGGTCTGAGTCCAGTGGAGGCACCTTGAAGACCAACGAAAATTCTGGGCATCAGCTTTTGTGTGCCGGCACACCTTTACTCAGGATTAAACTTTGTTGGTCTTAAAGGTGCTCCTGGACTCAAACTTTGTTCTGTCTGCAGATGAGGAATACAGGATATGGGGGAAAGGATATTTGACTTCCCGGAGCACAGAACCAAACCCATGTGAACCAGGATCAATGGTTTTAGGAACCAGGTGGCTTGGAGGGGGCTGCTCAGATTTCCAGCGGCTGGACTCTTTCCGCCGAGGCGAGAGGAGCTTGCTCTGGCCGCCATGTTGGCTGGCCTGTAACTGGTGGGAGTACAGTGAAAGCATCCCCCCTTTCTTAATGTTCCTTCAGAATTCTGCTATCCATCTCTTGTTTAGGAAGTCTGGAGAATGTGGAATAAGGGTTAGGATTTGTCAGTTGGGGTAAGATACGTGTTTTGTGTGCAGATGCTCTTGAGCCCCGCCTTCTTTTGGCTGGCAGGGCTCTGAGGAACACCCAGGAGCTTTGGCCACACAGAAGGGGGCACCGCGTCCGACACAGACGGGCGGTCCGAGCACCGCTAGGCTAGATCCGGTCCTCGTTCTGCGCCTGCGGGGCTTCTCTGTGGCAGCTGCTAGAAACGTCTGCAGAGGGAACGGACGTTTAGGAATCCAGCAGTGAATTAATCAAATTAATTCTGAAGCTTTACCATCTCACACGTGACCTCCTGGCCTCCCTGCTTGACTCTTGTGTTCTTTTGATAATTGGCTTTTCTCTGGGAAATTGTTATTAAATTACCCAGAATGGCCACAAAAGGGGAAAGCAAATGAGGCTTAAGCGTCTGTCAGATAAACGTCAGAGCTGGTTTTGTTGGCTTCCCTGAGCCACTTAATCACGGGCGAGTGATCTCCTGCCTGCCTGCTGGAGCAGAAACCCCTTCCTGTCACTGTTCCAAGGACAATGGGAGTCTCTCTTTTCCTTGCCTCTCCCCCTGCTATCAAAGGGGTGATTTCTCTTGAAACAAGCCGGCGCAAGCAAGAGTCATCACAGTGGAGCCATATCTTGGGAGGTTTGACTCCTGCTCCCGGTTAGACTTAGTAGAGACGGGCAAGTTGGTTGTGGGAATTCTGTGTGGTGTTGTGAGGAAATGCATGCTGGGAGCAGCAGGGGGCGCAGGGGTGGTCTTCATGCTTGGCCAGCGAGGGCATATCCTGGAAGGCTTTGCTGCTGGCAGTGCGGGTGAGGGCAGGTCTCGTTGCCCCCTCCTTGGACTTAGCCAGGGGGCGCCTGGCTGCTCAGGCATCGGCTGCCTCTGAGTGGGCGGCCATTTTAAGAGCAGAGGCGCTTCCCTTATGCATGGGGGGGAGGGGTCTCTGCTCATTCCCCCCCCCCCCCCACGAGCAGTGAGAAGAAAGCCTGGGAGGAAATTTGGAAATGTTATTCAAAATGTAGCATAAGGTGCAGCATTTGTAGCATTTGGGTATATCTGTGGCTTTGCTTGTAGAAAAGTAGCAAAGCCATCCTGTGCAGAGAGATGCCAGGCTGTGCCCCTGAATTGACTGCGGTGCATCCTGTGCAGAGAGATGCCAGGCTGTGCGGTAACTGAAGACTGAAATGCCATAAGAGGGCCCAAATGCTTCAGTTGTATATGTCGTCCTGAAGTGTGCAAGTTTAATGGGAATGTAAATCTTGCATGTATTTCAGTCTTTCCCAACATATACATTTTTCCTGGGAAAATTTCTTCCCCACATGGCTTCAGGGTTTCTGGAGATTTTGCATCTTGCAAGGCGTGTTGCGCAGAGGCGGCACTTTTGGGGTGCCCTTGAGGGTGGCAGGGAGGTCTGCTCCACAAGCCACGAGGGCTTCTCCTGGGCAGGCCCCCTTGCAGCGAAGGGGAGCGGAGCTACTGCGGCTCTTCCTGTCCCCCGACCACCTGACTCCGGAAGGCTTGCTCAGCCCCCCTTGAGATGCCCAGAGACACACACACACACGTCCCCCCTTGCAGAGGCACATTTCTGCTTGCAAGGAGGCCGCTCTGCCCTCTCGCAGTCCGCAGGGCAGAAATGCTGAGGAGGAGGAGCCGTGAGGCTGGCTTGGGCGGGGCTGAGCACTGAGTGTGTGGAGGGCGGATCAAACGGATCCGGGGACCCTCCAGGGGGGACACAGCCCTGGGGAAAGGCAGGGTGACTTCCCTCCAGCATCGGAGGGGCAGAGCTACCATCTGTGAGCCAGCCTGCCGCTGAAGGGGCTGGGCTCAGAGAAAACCAGCATGGCCCAGCAGCCCCCGGGCTAAACCTGGTGGTTGGGAAGAGCCGTGGGCAGAGGGAAGATGCAGCAGGTGAGTTCAGCTGCCACCGGAAGTCATGGGCTCGGCAGGGACACGTGTCTCCCGCCTCTTACAGACTCACCATCCGCTGAGCCTAACTGGTGGACACAGAAAGAAGTGTGGTGTGAGAGTGATACGGTCCGCAGTCACAGCGTGCTTGGCTGTAATTCTTTTTGCTGCTTGCCAGCCTGCCAACATGGCTTTTCGGGGGGGGGGGTGCTTTTCCGGATGTGGTGCTTGGAAGGCAGCCCCTGGCGCCAGATGAAAGCATCGCGCTTGCTGGCGTGTTGGAAGGGCTGCCGGTGCTGGAGCTGCGCATGAGCTGGCTTCTGCCCCCAGGGGAAGGACCGCGCACCCCGAGGCTCTCCCTGGGCCCAAGGGCCAGTGCTCCCGGAGGGGGTGTGTGTGGCTGAGGGGGGTGCCATGAGCCCTGCGCGGTCACTTGATCCCCAGCTGCTTGCTGACTAATGTCAGTGATCTAAAACAAGAGCAGCTCCATTTTAAATACCTTAACCGAATAAAGGCCAAGCTCTAGACCAGAGTCTCTCTTCTTTGCCACAGGAGGCTCATGACCCTGAACACCTGCGCCTCGATGAAGCTGGAAGTCCACTTTCAGCGGAAACAGGTACGTCTTCATCTTCCGAGGGCTGGGGCAGATCCCGAGGAACTAAGCCAGGCTTCGGGGGAGGGGAGGGGAGGGGCTGGTGTGGTCCCAGCCCAGGCAAGCCTCAGCTACTCTGGAGCAGTCTCCTAACAAAATGTTGGATCCCCAGGCATTAGAAATAACTCCATGTTTGGTTCAAAGTAAGGTTTATTTCAAAGCGATGGTTCAAACAGGAACAAGGACATTGTTAGGAATGACTACCAATACACACGTGTAACATAATAAAGGGATTTGAACCAGGTTAGGGCCAATGAGCCCAGTTCCCGCTGGCGGGAATAGAACTTGCAATTGCGCGCCCATTTCATGGGAACATAACAGTTCTACACAATCAACACAGGTTCAGTTCACAGGCGAGATAACCATAACAAGCTGAGCGAAGCACCGACTCCCACCACCAGCTGCACGACCTTGGCCAGTTCCGCAAAGTACAGAGCAAGCATAAAGAAGCAAAAGGAACCGGGGGGGGGGGGGAAGGGCAAAAGATGTGTTAAGCAGGTAACACCAGACACAATGGCAGCTAGCTGACACACCCCACCCCACCCCCTTAATCAGGCGTTTTCCTCTCCTCCTCTCTCCTCCTGACAGCATTATCCTGCCCCTCTGATCCCAAAGCCCCATTCGGGGAGGGCACGGGAGAACACCCATGGAACGCCTGCATCTTTGGCTCGCTCAGGGCCAGACATGCTCAGCCCACCATGGGGACCCCCCGAGAGCTCAATTCCTAGGCACACGGTTTGGATCAGGGCAACACAGAAAAGGGGCAGAAGCCTTTACCCCTCGTGCCAGTTTCCTGGCCTGAAATACCCTCCAGGAGCAGCTCTTTGCCCTGTGGTGGGTGGAATCCTAAACGCTCTCTAGTCTTGGCCGTTTCCTGTCGTAGTTGAGTAACCTCGGCCAGGCCCTCCTGCGTGGTGCCCACGGCACATTCCCTGCCCCCCCCGGTGTGTTTAGGAAATGGGTGGGGCCAGGTAGGGCTTTTGCCCAGCAAGGCTTCTGATTGGTGTTGGCGGTCTGTGCGGGTTTCTTTGGCAGCAGCTGCCAGCACAGCCCGCGGGTCGTCACTTGCATGCCTGAAGGTGAGCTGTGGAAGCCGTTTTGTGGCGGGCTCTGCCTCATGCAGCAGCCATTTTGTGGCAGCTTATTTGTGTCTGTGTCAACCATGTTGTGTTAGAATTCCAGATGTGCCCGCAGGGTCCAAAAGGTTGGGGATACCTGGCCTAAGGAATGGGACCCTAAAGTGCCAAAAGTCCAAAAGAAGCCCACCAGCACCCCACCCCCCGCAAAAGGTTGAGTTGCCAGCCCTGGCTTGCAGAGAGGAACTGTTTCAGCCCCCCCCTTCCAGCCATGCAAGTTCACCTGTTGCCTCATTCTGTGAAATGCGAGTCTGGTTGAGGGTTTCCTTGAGCAGCTCTCTGGCAGGGCCATGGGGCTCAGGAACCTGTAGAGGGATTTAAAGGAGACGCACACCATATTAAAAGTAAGCACAGAAGTACCTGCATTGGCTTTACTCTTCATGTCTGACGCTGACCTAAATCCAGAGATGATTGAGGACTTCCAGTCTATGACGGCTGTGTTTTAGTATTTTGTTGCTGAATATTTAAATGGTCACAGAAATGAAATCTTTTATTAGGCCCAGCAGGTTAACACAAAACATTGGGCAGGCTTTGGAGCTCAGCAGATCTTTTCATCAGGCTGGTTTTTACAAAATTTAAAGAAACACAGAAGAGTCCTAGGCCGTTCTGCGAGGTCTGCCATTCAGCCACCGTGCCGGATGCCCTTAAATCGCTCAGTTTGCAACCTGCTCTCTGGCAGCTTTAATGTCTAAGCTCCACGGCAACAATGAATTTGACAGGGAATCCCCAGCATCCCTGAGCAGCTGTCTGTTTCCAGGGGTTGATGGAGATGGAGCCGATGATACTGACTGAGTGATGGATTAATTCAGTTTCTACTCGTCAGGTCTCAGAAACTAAGCAGGGTTGGTCCCGGTTTGTATTTGGATGGGAGACCATCGAGGAAGTCCAGGGTTGCTAAGCCAAGGCAGGTGTAGTGGTTTGTTCGGTGTCGTGGTTAAGTGTGCGGACTCTAATCTGGGAGAACCGGGTTTGATTCCCCACTCCTCCACTTGCAGCTGCTGGATGACCTTGGGCAAGCCGTAGTTCTGACAAGAGCTGTTCTTGAAAAAAGAGCCATTTCTGTCAAGAGTTCTCTCAGCCCCACCTGCCTCACAGGGTGTTTGTTGTGGGGAGGGGAAGGGAAAGGAGTTTGTAAGCCGCTCTGAGACTCCCTTGGGTAGTGAAGGGCGGGGTATAAATCCAGTCTCTTCTCTTCTGACCTTCTCTTGCCTTAGAAATCCCACCAGGGGTTGCCGTAAGTCAGCTGCGACTCGAGGGCAATCCTCACACACGCACACACACACACACACAAATAGAGTTTTCTGAATAGGACTATTTAGCCCTGGTGTCCAGCGTCAAGCAGAGAGGAGGGCGTGGGTTTGTCTGGCCTACTGGGTGTAGTTTGCTGGCTGCTGAGTTGCTCTGACCTGTGTTCCTCCCTAGAGTGAAGACCCTGAGGAAGGAGAAGATGTCTGTGGCAACAGCAGCCGGTGGGCCTTCCAGAGCGACAGCCAGAGATGGTCTTGCACCGACTCGGATGACTTCCTCTCCAGCAGCCTGGAGAGACTCTCCAGCATGAGGAAGGAGTCCAGCCGGGAGAGTCTCTCCACAGATCTCAGTGCGGACCTGGAGGCCACGTCTCTCCAGAGCCACGGCAGCACAGGCCAAATAGTGGCTGTCCGAGCCACGCCACCTGGCAGCTCCCCCGTTCAGACCTCGCCCGCCTTAACCGGCTCCATCCAAAGCTTGAGTGACCACTCACCGACAGACCCCTCTCCACCCCTGAGCTGGGTCAGCAAGGAAAAAACCAAGAAATGTCGGACTCGCAGCTTCCTCCGGAGGCTTGAGTCTCTGCGAAGGAAAGACAAGGAGAAACTGGATTCCGTGAGAGCTGGAGAGGAGGGCGGAACAGAGTCCTCAAAGGACATTGCAGACCCTCCGCCAGGGAAGAGGGCTCTCCTGGGAAGGGGAATTTCATCTCCTTTCCAGAGCAGTAAAAATCTTCTCTCAGCAGACTACCAGACTCACCAGGTTTTGGCTGGAAACAAGCCCCAGTTTGAGCCCAAGCATGGCAGTGTCTACCTGGAGGACTGTGAAGGAGCCCTTGTCAGGGGCCCCAGCCGGACTGCCAGGGGCTTTGGCCCCCGGGCTCTGCGGGAACAGAATTGTTTGGTCCACCTCCCCAAGGACCACAAGCCGGGCACCTTCCCCAGATCTCTCTCCGTGGAAAGCCTCCACCCTCTCGAAAGCGGCCCCGTAGCTGACTGGGGCCGTGTTGACACAGCCGGTGGGGCTGGCAGGGGCCAGAGCAGCCGCCCGGAGGCCCCTTCCCTGCAGGTACCTCGGCTAAGAGGGAAGCGACCCTCCTTAAGCTCTGCTGGCAGCTGCACCAGCCTCTACGACAACGTGCCCGAATTGGGCAGCAGTGACAACCTCTTTGACTTGGACACGGAAGTGATTTACGAAAGCCTGGATGACGTCCTGCAGCACGTCTGGGGCTTGCAGCAGAAGGTGGAGCTGTGGTCCAGGGGCCTCAGGCTGGACTTGGAGTGCAGAAGCGTGGAGGGAGGGGAGGAGGAGACGGATTCGGGAGGAGAGCCCGCCACCCCCAACTTTGAGGAACGGTCCATATCTGACACAGGCACCTCCGCTAGTGACTTCGACAGCACCGGCAATTCTCTGAACGAGGCTGAAGACACAGACGTGCGAGAAAGAAGAGACTCCGGGGTGGGAGCCTCACTCACCAGGCCTTGCAGGTAGGAGCAGGTGGGGTTTGGAGCAACCTCTGTGGTTCTTGGGACTCCCCTGGGGCCCCCTCCCACCCTCAGAGAAGTGGGGTTGTGCCACCCAAGTGCCTGAGTTCCTCCTTCACTCTGAAGCATCATCAGGGACTGCCAGAGCCATAGCTTTCCTCTCACAGTCAGCATCTCTTTGTTTACGGTATTTCGTTTACACATTTCTGTCCTGCAGTTCTCGTTCCAAAATAGTTCTCAACCACATCTCCCCGAAACATAGGAGGGAGAGGTGTTGTTACCTTGGAACATGGAGTGGTCACATGCTGAGCCATGGAGATGGGTGGTGGTGGTGGAGGACATTCCCTAGCCAGGGCACCAGAACGGAGGGTTGTGTGCCTCCTCTCCGGTAGTGAGGGAAATGGGTCAGGGCCGCCAAAGAAGGTCTCCACTGATGGATGTGTTCATCCAGAAGGAGGAGCTCCTTGAGGTCTCCTGGTCGCAGCCTCCCTACTGAGAGAGGGTGGAATTGGCTCCCTCCCTCCCTCTGACCATGAGCCATTCTTCTGTAGCCCAGAGCGTGTGGCTCCCTTGGACCTGACACATTTATGGAAGCAGACTTGTCTGTTTTCTGTAGGGGGAAATTGAGCCCAAATTGTGCATTTTTTTATTTCCAAGGGTTTTTTTAATAGGTGGGCTGGAATATGGGAATGTGGACAGAGCAGCATGAATTTCTGCTCAGTCTCATACCATTGACAGCTCCAGTGTGACGCACATCCTCCATCCCCACTTTGTACTGTGGGAATCTGCGACAGAAGGCGGCGGCTGAGCGGCACTTGAGCCCGGCCTTCCTGACCTGGGCAACATCGTCACTCTCCCAGTGGACTTGGCATCTGGGAGCTGCTACCTGTGCCCAGTGGCCGTTGTGCTGGCCAGCAGTCCCAGGATGTGTCACGCTGCGTTTTGCCAGGGTCACGTTTCAGTCTCTCTGTCACTGCTGCAGCATGCTCTGTCTTTTTATATTTCCTTGAAATGTCAACGTTAGACCCGAGCCTGAGTCTGCCCCCTTCTGCTGCTGGTTGGCACGGTTGCCACCCTGTTAGTGAGCATGCAGGCCGAGCAACCTCAAGGCACTTTGCAGGAATCCTGTGCAGGGCAGAGGTGCTTTTGCACAGGATGGGCTGAACTTCTGGCTCCTCTCTTTGCATACATTTCTCTGGTAAAATCCCTAAAAAATGGAAACACTTGATAATAGTTCCAGTCTTTAAAAAGGGTTAAAGCTCATACCCTATGTGGTATTGACCAATAAGTTTACTTTCCTGTCTAGGAAAGCTCTGTACTTCATGTTAATATTTTTAGCTCTTGACTTGGATTGAACAACATGAGGTTTTGGGCTGGGAACAAGGAGGGCTCAAAAGAGGTTCTTCCACCTTAGGTCACTGTTGTTCAATCTTCATACGAATGATGGTGTCTTCTGGTTTTTCTGAGCCCCCCCATCTGCCTAAATTGGCCGTGCTCCATGTCCCTGTCCTTCTCTATGCAGATGATGAGGCTCTTCTTTTCTGAACTAAAGTTGGACTCCAGAGATCATTAAGAATTTTTTTTTGCATTACTGTTCTAAGGAAGGTTTATATATTAACTATAAAAGGTCTAACATTATGGTCTTCACTAAGAAAGCAGAAACTACCTCTTATAACTGGCCTTTGGCTGGTCTTATGCTTAAACAGGTCAAGGAATTTAGATACTTGGGCGTCTTGTTTACATCTAATTTATCTTGGAGTGCTCACCATAAACTGGCATCCAACACAGTCAGATTAAAGGCAGGACCTCTTTTAAATTTCTTTTATCCTAAAGCTGAAAATACATTTCTGTTGTCATTTGGACTTTAACATAACAGTTATTCCCCATATTGTATTAGATGCCCTGTTTGGATAATCTCTGCTACTGAGGCCCTGGGCCGACCTGCCATCCAGTTTCTTCAGAACCTAGTAAAATGCCCCTTATTGTGTTTCAGGCATTGTTCTCTGGGCAGAATTTGGCCAAAAATCATTAGAACCATTACAAGCGAGAGCCTGACTTTCTGCATTCCATGTAAGCCATAAGCAGGTTTTCAGTGAGCCAGGGGTACTGGTAGTTGCAGGTACTGGTACTGGACTCCTTTAGACCCACTTGGGTGAAACTTCTTGATGAAAAATTGCTGGCCCTTGGCGTAACATCTGATCTGATGGGAAATTATGGCAAACACAAGACTCTTTCCTTACATAAGAAGCATATTACAAATCTTGATTGAGTACTACATTCAGAGCATGTTGTGTCTGCTCCTCTCAATATTTTGGTATTCCCCATCCAAAAACTCTTCCATCATATGTATATTATTTAACTATCCCTCTCTATGTGAGGGCTTTTTGCCTGACCAGGCTTAATGTTAATTCTTCTCAGGTTTGGCAGGGTAGAATTTTGAATATTCCATGTGCTGACCGTCTTTGCCCTTGCCCTTTAGGTAGACTTGACCCCTCCTTTCATATTCTTTTTTTGGTTCGATTTTAGTTTTTATTGATAAAATAAAGGAGGGAAAGGAAAAAAATATATAAGAAGGCTTCAGATTTTCTCTTTCTTAATACCTTAATCATCAAGTTCAAGTTCAAGTTTATTAAAAACAGTCATAAGACCCGCAAAGACCAAAATAGTACAGCCTTAATCATAAATAAAAAAAATGGAGCTGCGGTGGCTCAGGTGGTTAAGACGCTGAACTGCAGGCTGTAGAAGGTCAGTAGTTCAGCAGTTCAAGACCCGGGTGCCGCATGATGGAGTTGAGCTCCCATCTCTAGTTCCAGCTCCTGCCAACCTAGCAGTTCGAAAGCAAGTAATTGCAAGTAGATAAATAGGTACCGCTTCGGTGGGAAGGTAACAGCGTTCCGTGCGCCTTGCTGTTTAGTCATGCCGGCCACATGACCACGGAAACGTCTTCGGACAGCGCTGGCTCTTCGGCTTTGAAACGGAGATGAGCACCGCAACCCTAGAGTCGGATTCGACTGGCTTTCGAGCAAGGGAACCTTTACCTTTAATCATAAAAAACACAAATCAAGTCATTATTCCCTTTTTCCTGCAAAAACTCTATAAGGGACTTTTCAAATTGTAATAAACAAATTAATTGTCTTTTCCATAACCAACACAGTAAGTTTAGCCATGGCTGCAGGGCCAGCTCGCTCACTCTCGCCTAGAGCGCGGCCATCATTGGGGCACCAGACTGAGCCCCCTGCCAAAAGCTCGTGCCGTGTGCTGGCCACCGCTGGCTCTTCGCCCACCCCCGCCAAAAGCTCGTGCCACGCACTGGAGAGGCACCACAGCCCCTCAGTTGGAGGTCGGCTGCCAGGCAAGTCACTGGGCAGGTGGCTGGGCGGGCGTGGGGGGCGCCCTTGCCTCTCACCTCACTCTCTGGTGGTGCTGGCGGCGAGGCACTCGAGGAAGTTTGGCATCGGGATGTGCACCCAGAGTCGCCGCCTCCCCTTCCCGTCATCTGGATTCTCATCCCTGGGCCTCCCTCGGCCACCGTGGCCCCCGAGCTCACCGACTGGCCAGGCCCCGCAGCCAGCCCCCCCCCCCGCCTCAGCCACCTGAGCACTAGACAAGCCTCTCGACAATGCCCCTGCCAGCAGGCGACGGCAGCAGGTGGCCGCGGCTCCCTTCGACATCTATTCGCTGCCTGGGGAAGGGAGTTCTCAGCCTCCTTTCCACTGCACCAGCCGCCACGCGCTCCCCCTCCACCTCGCCGGCACTGCCTCTCGCATGGCTCACTCAGACCCATCCAGTCCCGGCGCCTCTCCCGGCCAGACGAAGGGTGAGTGGGGCAGACGGCCGGGGAGGGGTTCCCGTAGGGCAGGCGCAGGAGGGGGCGGGGCAGCACACAGGAGCTGGGGGGGACAAAGAGCAGCTGGGTTTTTTCCCTCCTCCACCCGCCCCCTCAAGGGGCTGGTGGGGGGGGAGCCTCGGAGGGAGTGCCCCTCCCCCATCCGCAGAGCCTTCGCAGAGAAAAGGTGCAAGCTGGGTCCTTGGGG